GGTTAGGGAGGCGAGGACCACCCGAGCTCCTGAAGGAGGGTGTGACCCTCGGCCCGGCCTCCTTGCTGTTCCCCACTCGCTGCCGTCCTATTTGTGCAGCTTGGCTGCCCGAGACCCCGGGCCTGTCCTCACCCTGTTGGCCGCCCTGAGGGGCTGGACTCCCCGAGGCTTGAATCTGTGCTGACAGCATGGAAAGGTCCCTCAGAGGGGACCCTGGGCCAGAGGGGGCCCAGGGCCAGGGCCAGAACCAGCTGCGGAGAAAGGGCAGGCGGCTTGTGGTTTGTGGTCAGAGCCTGCAGGACACCGTGGGCAAATTCCTGGAAGGCCAGCTGTGGGCTGTGGCCTGGCAGTGGCCCTGTGCGGCCTTGCCCAGCTGTGTCCCCAATCAGTGCCCAGCCCCATCCTCCCTGCCTCCTCCCCCACCCCAGCCCAGGCGTTTCCGTGGTGCTGGTGGAGCTCGGCCAGGCAGTTAGTCCGGCCTGGCCAAGGCCCCCTCCCTGGAGGTGCCACTCCACTGGCCATGGGCTATAGAAATGAACATCATGTTCAGGGCCCAGCGCTGTACAGGGGCCCCTGCACCCTCTGACCTCAATGGAGACATAAAACTGGTGCCCTAGACAGAGGTACAAGCAAGAGAGGGAAGTGTGTGGGCCTCCGGAGCCGGCTGGTTTAGGCCGGACTGCCTGAGGCTCCAAGGCGTAGCTGGTGGCCTCCTGGGGTGTGAGTGATGCCAGGAAGCAGAGCTTCCCACTGGCCTTCCCGTCCAAGGGCACGTGTGGACTAAAAGCTCAGCCCCCAACAAGGACCCGGAACCCCTACAACCAATCAGCCACCAGTCTGCCCGCAGGCAGGGCAGCGAGAACGGGCTGTGTGCAGCAGCCGCCGCTGGCCTGAGGCATTGCCTGGGCCTGAGCAAACCCTGGCCCAGCTGCCCACTGAGGCTTGCGGAAGCAGGCTACATGCAGTCTTTTTCTTATACATGTATGTATACATATATCTCCTCTTGATCCGCTGCCTCCTGCAGGCCCCACCCTGGGGATCGAGCCCTCAACCCAGGCATATGACCTC